CAGGAGAAGAAGGCTGAGACTCATCTGGCGCAAGCTGATGATGATGATGAGACCACTATCCTGATGGCGACGTTCTGTGCATTGCACGACGTCGAGGCCGAGGAGAAGGAAGAGGCAACGACGGTGGAAGGACCTGGAAAGGCCCTGAAGACTGTCAACCTCGACGAACCACGCGCCCAAGTCCACCAACGTGTGGACGCCGACCAGGAGCAGCGGTGGTATCTGGACTCTGGTGCTAGCAACCACATGACGGGCTCTAAGGCATCAGCTCGACGACGATGTTACCGGTACGGTGAAGTTTGGTGACGGCTCACGGGTGACAATCTAAGGGCGCGGCACCATCATCTTCAGGTGCCAGAACAGGAAGCACTGCGCGCTAACGGATGTATATTACATCCCGCAGCTGCGTTCCAACATCATCAGCATTGGTCAACTGGATGAGTGCGGTAGCGAGGTACTGATCAAGGACGGAGTCCTTAGGATCAAGGACCGGGAGCAGCGACTTCTTGCCAAGGTGAAGAGGTCCATGAACCCGTTGTACCTGCTCGACCTAAAGGTAGAGCAGCCGGTGTGCCTGGCAGCAAGGCACACCGAGGAACCGTGGATGTGGCATGCCCGGTTCGGACATCTCAGCTTCGACGCGCTTGGTCGGCTGGAGAAGATGGTCCGAGGGCTACCTCACATCAAGCACGGAGGCGAGTTGTGTGACAGCTGCCTGGCCGGGAAGCAGAAGAGGCTACCATTCCCAAAGGCGGCCAAGTATCGTGCGAAGGACGCTCACGAGCTCGTCCACGGCGACCTCTGCGGGCCGATCACGCCAGCTACAAACGGTGGTCGGCGGTACTTCCTCCTGCTCGTGGATGATTGCAGTCGCTACATGTGGCTGCAACTCTTGACGACCAAGGACGAAGCGGCGGCGGCGATCAAGAAGTTCAAGATGCGCGCAGAGGGCGAGAGCGGCAAGAAGCTCCGCGTGTTGAGGACTGATCACGGCGGCGAATTCACTTCGGTGGAGTTCGCTGCGTACTGCGCGGATCAGGGTGTGGTGCGACACCACACCTCGCCGTACTCGCCACAACAGAATGGCGTAGTGGAGAGGCAGAACCAGACGGTGGTCGGTATGGCTCGATCCATGATGAAGGCCAAAGGCATGCCGGCAAGGTTCTAGGGTGAGGCGGTGACCACAGCGGTGTTCATCCTCAACCGCGCTCCGACCAAGGCCCTGACGGGCAAGACGCCGTTCGACGCTTGGTATGGGCGCAAGCCGAGCGTGTCCTTCCTCCGGACATTCGGCTGCATCGGCCACGTCAGGAAGACGAAGCCGAACCTCATCAAGCTGGAGGACAGGAGCGCACCGATGGTGTTCCTGGGCTACGCGGAGGGTACCAAGGCGTACCGGCTCTACGACCCACGAGGAGACAAGGTGCTTGTCTCGCGCGACGTCATGTTCGACGAGAAGGCGGCTTGGGACTGGAGCAGTTCGAGCACGGGGAAAGCTGGCGGCTTCACCAGCACCTTCGTCATCGAGCACTTGGTCATCCACGGTGGTGGAGACGCTGGGGAAGAGGTGCCGAGCACTCCAGCGGCAGAGCCGAGCACTCCTGAGGTAGTGCCGAGCACTGCAACCAGGGTGCCGAGCACTTCGGCGGAACAAGGAACTCCATCAACACTGATTGAGTTCGCCTCACCTCCAAGTGACATCACTGAGTTCGTGGACGCCTTCCACGAAGGTGAGGAGGCGCGGTTCCGCAGGCTGGACGACATCGTCGACGGCACAGGGCCCTCAGGACTGGATGGTCGGTTGCTCAATGATCAAGAGCTACCGCTCGTCAGTGCAGAGGAACCACCCACGTTCGCGCTGGCCGAGCGTGACGGAAACTGGCGACGGGCGATGCTGGAGGAGATGAAGGCGATCGAGGAAAAACGAGACATGGCAGCTCGTCGATCCACCTCCAGGATGCCGTCCGATAAGCCTGAAGTGGGTGTACAAGGTCAAGCGGGACGAGCTCGGCGCCATTGTAAAGCACAAGGTGTGCCTCATCGCCCGAGGCTTTGTTCAGCGCGAGGGCATCGACTTCGAGGAAGTCTTTGCGCCAGTAGCGCGCATGGAGTCGGTCCGTTTGCTACTAGCCTTGGCAGCAGCAAAGGACTGGCGGAGTCCATCACTTGGACGTTAAATCGATCTTCCTCAACGGCGAGCTGGCGGAGACGGTCTTCGTCAGGCAACCTCCAGGTTTCGCCATCAAGGGAGAGGAGCACAGGGTGCTCCGACTGCACAAGGCGCTTTACGGGCTGCGGCAGGCCCCACGAGCATGGAACGCCAAGCTTGACGCCACGCTCGGCGAGCTTGGGTTTCAGCGGTGCGCAACCGAGCACGCGCTCTACACGCGGCGACGGGGGAAGGAGGAGCTCGTCGTCGGCGTGTATGTGGACGACTTGATCGTCACCGGCGCGCGCACGGAGGACATCAACGGCTTCAAGCGCGAGATGACGGCTCGTTTTCGAATGAGCGATCTTGGCGCACTCTCCTACTACCTCGACATCGAGGTGAGACGGGGGAAGGAGGAACTCACGCTCGGTCAGAGCGCGTATGCCTCCAAGCTGTTGGAGCGGAGCGGCATGGCTGAGTGCAAGCCATGCGTGACTCTGATGGAGGAGCGGCTGAAGCTGACGAAGGCTAGCACCGCGGCGAAGGTGGATGCAACACTCTACCGGAGCATCATCGGCGGTCTGCGCTACCTAGTCCACACGAGGCCGGACATTGCGTTCGCCGTGGGCTACGTCAGTCGCTTCATGGAGGATCCCAGAGTGGATCACTGAGCTGCGGTGAAGCGGCTACTGCGCTACGTCAAGGGAACGGTGGATCAAGGGATCATCTTTCCCAAGAACGACGGGAGTAGGCTACAACTCACTGTGTTCAGCGATGCAGACATGGCGGGGGACAGACGGACGAAGGAGCACCTCTGACGTGCTCGTCTTCCTCGGGTTGGCCCCAATTTCATGGCTGTCGCTGAAACAGAAGGTGGTGGCGCTATCTACGTGCGAGGCAGAGTATGTAGCGGCGGCCACAGCGGCGTGCCAAGTTGTGTGGCTGCGCCGGCTGCTGGGCGAGCTGACCGGTGCGAAAGCTCACCCACCAGCACTGATGGTGGACAACCAGCCCGCCATCGCCCTCGCGAAGAATCCAGTTCTGCATGACCGGAGCAAACACATCGACGTGAAGTTCCACTTCCTCAGGGACTGTGTCGATGGAGGACAGATCGTCATTGAGTTCGTCGAAACTAGTCGGCAACTCGCGGACGTCCTCACCAAGCCGCTCGGACGTCTTCGACTTACGGAGCTGAAGGAGATGATTGGCATGGAGGGGGTACAAGGGATAGCAGTAGGTTTAGGGAAAGAATTGTTAGAATAAACTATTGCTTCCTTGTGTGAACACACAGCAAGGGAAAGACGGCGCCGAAAAGGCCCCTGCTGTGGTACTGTAGGCGCTGCAGAGGTAGGTGCCGAACGGCTCACCTGCCTCACTGTAGCCACATGTAGGGACAGACGCAGAAGTCAGTCCTGCTATGTTATCTAGTTACTGTTACAGCATGTGCGCTGTACTAGGACTAGATGGATAGAGTTGTATAAATAGACTGCCACGACAACTTAGTAAAGAGAGTTCAGATTTGCCATCTCCCATACGGGGCTTCGGCCAACGCTGGTATCTTGTACTGTGTGTGTATGCTCTGTTCTCCCTCTTCTTCAACCTCTAGCCATAGTGTGTGGGGACGGACAACGCTTGTTCGTGGTCGGCTTAGCTAGCGGGTGCTCGGCAAGACTGGTGAGTGGTTCACTCACCTGAGCCGGTGATCCTGTGGGCTAACAGCTACTCCTTAATAGTATGAATTGTTCAGGTGGGATTTCCCACTGCCAAGCTCACAAAAAAAATAATCTAAGGAGAGGCCTGAAAGTCCTCAAATTCAACCATTTTATACAGTAAGACATGATCTTGGGGGAAGGAAGACAGGATTTACAATACAACGTAAAAAAAGTAATTTCATAGGAGAGGACATGCCACTTTGCCAGAACGGTTGTTACAGGGAGAGGATATTTCAGGATGTCCTTAAGCTTTTTGGCCTAAAGGAATACCTGATAGGTAATGGTAACGATCTCACAACTCACTGTAAATTTGTGGAGAAGTTATGCTATGCCATTAGTTTCTCAGTTATTTGTGCAGTTCTTAGGCAGAACAGGAAGCAAAATGACTTGATCAATAAATTTAAACAAAGCAGATAAATGAAAAGTGAAAAGACAGCAGTCCTTTCCGTGGCCCTTTTGCCCTACACTGGAGAGAAAAGTTAGGTATAGAACAATAACATATGAGTTTATATACTATGACAGTTGGCTGCCCAAATCCCTGCAATTATATTTTATAAAATTTTGATGGATGTATATGCAAGTAATAAAATCGATTCAGCCTGTCTGCCTCAGGTTACAGTTTCCCTATATGTGCTGTGCAGGCAACCTAATCTTCAGAAGAGTCAAGTCCTCCAAAAACAGGCATCCCTCACTTGGGATGCTCGCAGTCTCGCACACAACTCCAAAAAACTGAGCATGTTGTTGGAAATTGCAGAAGGAAACAGGCCCCCCTGACCCAGTATTTATCCATTCCTAACATGCTTTCACACTGACGCTTAGCATATCCAATTGTCATGTATGGTCGGTCTCGCTAACCAATTCAAACAAATACAGAAGCCCTGAAGTGAATGAATTACTACCACAATGTTTTGTAATATGCAGCATCCAGGTAGCTGTAACCATGTGACTGTTTTGGTAGACAAAAGGTGGGTTGGAGAATAAATGGTATGGTTTCTTTCCACGGAAAAGCCAAATTGAGGCTCTGATGTCAGTTCAGTTCGTACACTACTGTTGGATGTCTAACCTGAAGGGGAAACACTTGTCTGTTTGATTTATTGAACCATTTTACCGCCTAATAGACTTAGTCAAGTCCAGAGAAACTAGTTTCCAGTACATACTTTCATTGCCAATGATAGCATCCTGTCAATACAGTGCTCAGTCAGGCACACAAATTTCAGTTGATGTATGTACCTGAAAACATTGTTTTGGCCTGAAAACGATTTTTCCCCCTCGAGTTTTGTTCCAATCCTGGACTGTCCGGATCACGGTAATCAATCCAAATGATACTTTCATGGCATTTTGTTCCATTCTTACAAATATATTTACTTTATAACGAAAAAAAGTGGTGTAGTAGTCACCAAAATGTGTTTGAGAACACACTAGAAACCAAAACCAGAAGCCCCATCAGCTCTCCGTGTCTGCCCTGATTACGCAACCTAATCTAACTAGATCCCGTAACGTGAACTCAACCTAGCTGAGACTTCTCACACGCGCAGAGAAAGATGCCGTGAGGGGAAAGGGAAGTCGAAACGGCGGGTACTGACCAATTGGACGAGAGGAAGTCCGGCACGTCCGACGAGGCGGCGGAGGCGGAGACCCTGAGGCGCGCCGCCGCGGCGGGGACCGTGGGCCTAGGGCATGCCCTCCAGCAGCAGCCGCCGCCGCGGTTTGGCGCCGGCGGGAGCGCGATCGGCTTCGCGGTAGCAGCAGCGGACGACGCCATTGTCGCAACTCGCAACTCGCAACCTGACTACCTGAGAGTGAGATGCTTCGTTTTCGTTTCCGCCTCCAGTTTATTCAGGACCGGAAGATTAATTCAGGCCAGTGAATTTTCCCTGACGTCTTTGGGCTTGGGCTGAGCTGGGCTCCACGCTTCCGCTAAATCGGGCTGGATAAGGGCCTAAGGAAGACGGAGGCCCAGTAAGATTGATGGAGGCCCATAATAATCAGTTAACTTGTGAACACGGAGGGCGTTCCCACCCGCGCTGGTTTATCCACTCGCGCTCGCGGAGCAAGCGGCCACCAGCTTGGCCACGCGCTCCTCCGCTCGCCGTCGCCGTCCTCCAAACCTCTCCAAAACCCCGCGGCCGCGGATCCCAGCGCCATGCGCGCCTCCTCCTCCTCCGCTTCCAGAGATGCAGCCGCTGCCCACTAAGCCCGCACTCAATCCAGTCCTCCTCCCACTCCCCTCCCTTGCCTTGCCGCGCGCCCTCCCGCCGATCCGCCTCCACGCAGAGAAGCGCCTACGCCGTCTCAGCTCGGCCGCCGTCTCGGCGGCGGCGTCCACCTCCTCCTCTGCGGACCCGAGCGCGGAGCTGCGAGCGCTCTGCTCCCATGGCCAGCTCGCGCAGGCGCTCTGGCTCCTCGAGTCCTCGGCGGAGCCGCCCGACGAGGACGCCTACGTCGCTCTGTTCCGCCTCTGCGAGTGGCGCCGCGCGGTGGAACCGGGGCTGCGCGCGTGCGCGCACGCGGACGACCGGCACGCGTGGTTCGGGCTCCGCCTCGGGAACGCCATGCTCAGCATGCTCGTCAGGTTCGGGGAGACGTGGCACGCGTGGAGGGTGTTCGCCAAGATGCCCGAGCGGGACGTCTTCTCTTGGAACGTCATGGTGGGCGGGTACGGGAAGGCCGGGTTGCTGGAAGAGGCGCTGGACCTGTACCACAGGATGATGTGGGCAGGTGTGAGGCCGGACGTGTACACGTTCCCCTGCGTGCTGCGGACCTGTGGGGGCGTCCCAGACTGGAGGATGGGGAGGGAGGTGCATGCGCATGTTCTTCGGTTTGGGTTTGGGGAGGAGGTCGATGTCCTGAATGCACTCATGACCATGTACTCCAAGTGTGGGGACGTTGTGGCTGCACGCAAGGTGTTTGACAGTATGGCCGTGATGGACTGTATCTCATGGAATGCCATGATTGCTGGGCATTTTGAGAATGGTGAGTGCAATGCGGGGTTGGAGTTGTTTCTTACCATGCTGCAGGATGAGGTTCAGCCTAACCTCATGACAATAACTAGTGTGACTGTTGCATCGGGCTTGTTATCTGACATAACTTTTGCAAAGGAAATGCATGGGCTTGCAGTGAAGAGGGGTTTTGCCACTGATGTTGCATTCTGTAACTCTTTGATTCAGATGTACGCGAGTCTCGGTATGATGGGGCAAGCAAGAACAGTGTTCTCAAGAATGGATGCTAGAGATGCCATGTCATGGACAGCTATGATATCTGGGTATGAGAAAAATGGTTTCCCAGATAAAGCTCTTGAAGTGTATGCACTTATGGAAGTGAACAATGTAAGTCCTGATGATATTACTATTGCAAGTGCCCTTGCTGCTTGTGCTTGCTTGGGGAGTTTGGATGTCGGCGTCAAGTTGCATGAGCTTGCTGAGAGCAAGGGATTCATGAGCTATGTCGTAGTTACAAACGCACTCCTTGAAATGTATGCAAAGTCCAAGCGTATTGATAAGGCTATTGAAGTTTTTAAGTGCATGCCTGAGAAGGACGTAATATCATGGAGTTCAATGATCGCAGGATTTTGCTTCAACCATAGGAACTTTGAGGCTCTTTACTATTTCAGGCATATGCTGGCAGATGTAAAGCCTAATTCTGTCACTTTTATTGCTGCTCTTACTGCTTGTGCTGCTACTGGGGCTTTGAGGAGTGGTAAGGAGATCCATGCACATGTTTTAAGGTGTGGTATTGCATATGAAGGTTATTTGCCCAATGCCCTTATCGACTTGTATGTAAAATGTGGCCAGACAGGCTATGCTTGGGCACAGTTCTGTGCACACGGTGCAAAGGATGTTGTGTCGTGGAATATCATGATTGCAAGTTTTGTTGCTCATGGTCATGGGGATACTGCTTTATCGTTCTTCAATCAAATGGTGAAAATAGGAGAATGCCCAGATGAAGTTACGTTTGTTACCCTGCTATGTGCGTGTAGTAGGGGTGGAATGGTCAGCGAAGGTTGGGAGCTTTTTCACAGCATGACTGAGAAATACTCTGTTGTTCCAAATCTCAAGCACTATGCATGCATGGTGGATCTTCTAAGTCGTGTTGGGCAACTGACAGAAGCTTATAACTTCATAAATGAAATGCTTATCACACCAGATGCTGCTGTTTGGGGAGCCTTGCTAAATGGATGCCGGATACACCGGCATGTTGAACTTGGGGAGTTTGCTGCAAAATATGTCCTTGAATTGGAGCCTAATGATGCTGGATATCATGTTCTTTTGTGTGATCTGTATGCTGATGCTGGTATATGGGATAAATTGGCTAGGGTGAGGAAAACCATGCGGGAGAAAGGACTGGATCATGATTCTGGATGTAGCTGGGTTGAGGCTAAAGGAGTGGTCCATGCATTTCTTACGGATGATGAATCACATCCACAGATCAGAGAAATAAATACTGTTCTAGAAGGAATATATGAGCGGATGAAAGCATCTGGATGTGCTGTTGAATCTCATTCTCCAGAAGATAAAGTATTGAAGGATGACATCTTCTGTGGTCACAGCGAAAGACTTGCTGTTGCTTTTGGTTTGATCAATACCACACCTGGCACCTCAATTTCTGTCACCAAAAACCAATACACATGTCAGAGTTGTCACAGGATATTGAAGATGATTTCTAACATAGTACGAAGAGATATAATTGTTAGGGACAGTAAGCAACTCCACCATTTTAAGGATGGAAGTTGTTCGTGTGGAGATGTAGATTTGGGGTGAAGTTCTTGCAGAGGGGAGGCAAGCTTAGTTATGTTGCATATACCCTTGTGCAGTTGTGCTATTATTCATCTTGTACATGCTAATCGCTAGCAAGTAGCAGGGCAGCCTGGATATAGCTACATGAGCAGCAGCAACACTGCTTGGATCAGTGCAGCGGAACTCATATTTTGAGTTCTGTATAGCAGTTTTGTGCAGAGATACTCAACCTGTTACATGGCAATATCGAAAATTATACTCAAGTAATGGGACTTAAGGTTCTCACATATCATGGAAGGTAATTTATTGCTTCTTCTCTTTCCCTGGTTTAGTTGATAAAATCCCTGTTGTTTTTGTAACACTTATTTTCTTTACTTGCAGTCTCCTTAAGAATTGATTCTTGGAGCTGGTCTTTGCTTCCAACAACTTCCTAAAAAGAAATAATCAAGTAAGCTTGGGCTATAGAGGATAATCTAGTCGGTGTATAATGTTGTGTTGAATGGGCTTTATGTAGTCTTAATACTATTTGTAGTGCCCATCAACTGTAGTCTAGGGAACATAGAGCTGCAATTTTGGCAGTCATTTACTCATATTGAATACGCCAAGCTTCAAAGTATATACATTGGAATTGCATTGTGTCCCTTGGTGTAATTTGAAAAACACAAAGCTGATAAAGCAGCTACAACTAAAAGGAAAATTAGGAACATAGATTTATGCTTGGACCATGCAGTAAAATAATTCAAGATCAAGAGTTTGTGTGATATATAGAAAACTTGGAAATGGCTCCTTCTCACCCTCATTTGGGGATTATCAGCAAGTTTCCGATCACTTGGGCAACTGATATATGCTGCATTTTGCAGCATAGTCTCCTACCAGTTTGGTGACCTAGCTGAAAATCTGCAGCACAACTTTATGCTTATCTTAAATGTTCCTACCAGTGTGATCTGGCTTCCTCAACTCAGACATGTCTATCTTAAGTGTAATGTTTAATCATGTAATTTAGTCGCTTTTTATTCACGTGTGCCACTTATAAATGGATTAATAGTGGCCTTGCTTTAGTTTTTATTAGGAAAGGACTCATTAGGAATGCTTGTATTAGGAAAGGATCCATCAGGATCATGTATATTAGGATAGTGATTAACCATAGCTTAGTTGCCTGTATTGTATTGTTGACTGTGGCTATATATAACTAGCACCCCCCCACATTGGGTGTGTGGTGTGATTCCTATACTTCTCTACATGGTATCACGAGTCCGGGCCTAGGTCCACTCGCTCACCCCCTCCTCCCGCTGCTGCGCCACCACCCAGGTTGCGCCCTCCTCTCCCACCCCCAGCGCTGGTCCTCCTTGCCACGCCGCCACCATGACATCTGCTCCTCTCTCCAGCGACTCATCTACTGCGCTCACCTCTGACTCCACCTCCTCGGCCTCGGCACCGGTAGTCTTTTCCATTCCCCCCTATGCCACCATCTCCGTCAAGTCCCATGTGCCGATCACCCTCGAGTTGAAGCGCCCTAACTTCACTCGCTGGTCGTCCTTCCTCTCCCTCTGCGGCAAGTTCGGCCTTCTCCTACACGTCGATGGCATGCTGGAGGTGCGCCCTACCGATGCGGCCTGGGCTGTCGCCGACTCCTGTGTCTACAACTGGCTCCTCAGCACCGTCGCGGACGACGTCCTCGATCTCGCCGAGGCCCTGGATCAGACCGCCCATCAGCTGTGGACAGCGATCTCCGACATCTACCAGGCGAACAAGGCCTCTCGCGCCGTCTTCCTGAGTCACGAATTCCATTCGATGACTCAGGGTGACCTCTCCATCGACGTCTAAGATGAAGACCACGACCGATGCCCTGCGCAACGTCGGCCACACCGTCATCGAATCGCAGCTTGTCCTCAACCTGCTGCGCAGCCTCAACCCCCACTTTTCCAGCACCGCCAACAACATCGCGGATTCCAATCCGCTGCCTAACTTCGCCACCAGATGGTATACTCCTCTCCCGCCTCCCTCACTCCGATTCCTTCATTACTGTTGGTAATGACACGTCCAAAATTGGTACCGAACGCATCCGGTATTTTGTCCAGTCTTGGGGTAGTCAGACAGAAGTGACCGGACACATCCGGAATTTGGACCGGACGCGTCCGATATTTGGACCCGAGGTGAGCGACTAAGTAAAAGTGACCGAACCCTGGCTCAGTGGAGTGACCGGACGTTGATGAGTTACTGTTCAGCATCAGGTCAAAGTGATATAGCCTGAAACAGGATTGCAGAGAGCGACTGGACACGTTCGGTCGCCACACCGGACGCGTCCGGTGTGAACCAGCAAGTCTCGGTTTTTCATCTATAATTCATCGGACGCTGGGAGCATCCAGTCCGATGTGATCGGACGCGTCCGGTCGGCCCAGAGCGGCTCTGGGAGCTCTTTGGACTCAACCTGACGCTGCGTCTCTCGGGTCCGGTCGTTTTCTAACAGCGCGTTCGATCACGTAGTATTACCGTGCGCAGAGATAGCCGTTGGGCACCAATGGCTAAACAATTTGAAAGGGACACTGACGATCAGGCTGCGACCAGACATAGCTACCGGACGCGTCCGGTCACCACACCGGATGCGTCTGGTGCACACGACCTGCGTGTCCGGTCGTCCCACAGTCAGCCCAATAATTGAGCCAACGACTCTATTGTTTGGGGTGTCTATAAATATCGTTTGACCGGCTCTAGCTCACTCTTTTGGCCATTTGCATTGACATAGCAACCTTGTGAGCTTAGCCAAAGCCCTTCCACTCATCTCCGTTATCGATTCATCATCTTTGTGAGATTGAGAGTGAATGTAAGTGCATTGCTTGAGTGTTTGCATCTAGAGGCACTTGGTGTTCGTGTTTCGCTGCGGGGTTCGCTTGTTACTCTTGGTGGTTACCGTCACCTAGACGGCTTGGAGCAACGAGGATCGTTGAGCGGAGGTTGGTGATTGTCTCCGGCTCCGATCGTGGTGATTGTGAGGGGTTCTTGACCTTTCCCTGGCGGAGAGACAAAATGTACTCTAGTGGATTGCTCGTGGCCTGTGTGATCCTCATCTTGTGTTGGTTGTGCGGCACCCTATTGAGGGTTTGGCGTGTGATGCCAATTAGCGCATGAACCTCCAAGAGAGTGAATCACCACAACGAGGACTAGCTTGCTGGCTAGCAAGTGAACCTCGGTAAAAAATCATTGTGTCGTCATTTGATTCCAAGGTGATTGGTTTTTATTGGTATTCATTCTTATGATTGATTAGTTCATTCATCGACTCGGCGGTATAACCATCTTGCTCTCTCTCTTTACATTACCGCAAACTAGTTGTTAAGCTCTTTAGTGTAGCTAGTCGTGAGAGCCTGTTAGTTTGGTTAGTGTGGCTCTTTAGTTAGCCTTTGAGAGCACACTAACTTAGTGTAGTGACATAGCCATCGTGTGGATAGAGACTATAGAAACTAAAATTATGGTAGGTGACTTGTATTTTTAGTAGGCTAGCACAACACTCGTTTCGCCTCATATTTGTCTAACCGGTTTGCTAAGTGTTGTAGAAATTTTTAATAGGCTATTCACCTCCCTCTAGCCATTAGGACCTTTCAAGTGGTATCAGAGCCGAGGTCACCGTGATTTGAGGCTTAACAACTTTCGGTGTCAAAATAGCTTAAATCAGCAACACCAAGAAGCCACCCTAATTTGATGGCACAAATTATTCATATTGGAAGTCAAAGATGACCACACATATCAAGTCAATCAATAGAAGGGTGTGGAAGGTATTAGAAACCAAAATTGAGATTGCCGATCTGAAAAATTCCACCGTCGCCGAAGAAGTGCTTCTCCAAAACAATGACATTGCTCTAAGTGCCATTCATGATGCAGTTAATGAGAGAACATTTGAGCAAATCAAGAACATTGAGATGGCTCATGAGGCTTGGAAGAAGTTGGAAGAATTATCGAGGGCACCAAGGCAATAAAGGATGCAAAGACATACATTCTCAAGGAGAAATTTGCTAGTTTCAAGATGAAGGAAGATGGGAGTGTGCCGGACATGTTCTATTGGATGGAAGTGCTTATCAATGATCTCAAAGCACTTGGTGAGAAGGTAGAGGACAAGGACTTCTCTCATAAGTTTTTGAGATACTTACCCGCAAGATTTGGCATGTTGGTCATCTTGCTAGTGAGGACCGGTTTGGACACAATGACACCAAACCAAATCTTGAGAGATATCATGACCGATGATGCTTATAGAGATGATGATGAGAAGAAAAAAAAAGGAAGAAAGATGACAAGAAGAGTGGCATTCAAGGCCACATCATCTAAGGGCAAGACAAAGCAAGAATCATCAAGTGAAGATGAAGACTTGATCTTTGATGAGATGGATGGTGAGAAAATGGCTCTCTTTGTCAAGTTCATGATGAAGAAGAGCTACCGTACTAGAAGAAAGAAGTCTTCATCCAAGAACAAGGGAGAGTCAAGAAGATGCTTTAATTGTGGAAGCAAGGATTATCTTATTGCTCAATGCCCATACAATAACGACAATGATGATGACAACAAGAAGAGCAAGAAGAAGGACAAGAAGGAAAAGAAAGAGAAGAAGGACAAGATGACCATCAAGAAGAAGGGTGGTTCATATGTGGTCACTTGGGATAGTGATGCTTACTCAAGTGATGATGATGATAGTGATGATGACAAAACCACCAAAAAGAAGGCACTTGCAAGCATTGCTATCAATGAGAAGCCTTCTCTCTTTGATACTCCATCATACTTCATGGCTAAGGCCACTAAGGTACAAACTTGTGATGATGAAAGTGATGAGGAACATGATAATGAAAATAAAAATGAAAATAAAAGTGATAGTGATGATGATGAACCAACTAAGAATGAACTACTTGACATGTTAAATGATGCTAAAGAACACTTTGACATTAAGAGAAAGGAATGCAAAAGCTTGCGTAAGGAACTAAAGCCCTTAAGCAAGCCTTTGATGAGTTCAATGCATCTCGTAAGAGGCTAGAGGAAGCCCATGAGAAGCTTGGCAAGGCGCACAAGAAGCTTGAAAAAGCTCATTCTTCTTTGCTTGATGAGCAAAATAAGAAGAAGCATGCTGAGACATGTAATGTTGGCTTAACTTGTGACTTAATTGATGAATCATTCTATAAGCTTATCATTGTTGCTCCCACTAATCCTTCTTGTAGCACTTTCACTTTCACCTCATCTAGTAGTGATGGTTTCACATATGGTGCCTCACTAATAGTTGAGAATGAGACCCTAAAGAAGAAGGTCAATGAGCTCATTCACACCTGGGGTAAGGCCTATGGTGGTGAGGACCGCTTGCTTATATGCTTGGTAGCCAAAAAGTATCTTTCTACAAAGAGGGATTGGGCTATAACCCTAAAAAAGGCA